CAAGTGATCCTCCCACCTCAGCCTCCCGAGTAGCTGGGACCATAGGCACACACCACCACACCCAGCTAATTTTTTGTGTTTTTTAGTAGAGATGGCGTTTTTCCATGATCTCAAGCTATGTGTGCACCTCAGCCTCCCCAAATGCTGGGATTACACGTGTGAACCACCAAGCATGGCCCTGCATAGAATTTCTTCTGCATTTTTATCAACAATCCATTTGGCATATGTCTTAGTTCCAGTGGCCATAATAAAATACCACACACTGTGTGGCTTAAACAACAGTTATTTTCTCACAGGTCTGGGGGCTGAGAGTCTGGTATCAGGATACCAGCATGGCGAGGTCCAAGTGAGGGCCTGTTTCCATCTTGCAGATGACCACTGCGTGTTCATGTGGCCTTTCCTCTGCACATGCATGTGAAGAGAGCAAGCTCTCATTTCCTTTTCCTATAAGGCATTAATCTCATCTTAAGAGCCCAACTCTCATGAACGAATCTAACCGTAACTACCTCCAAAAGGCTCCATCTCCAAATACCACCATATTGAGGACACAGGCTCCAACATGTAAATTTGGGGGAGACACAAACATACAGTCTATAACAGCATATTTCTGAGTCAATGTCTAGATTTTCCATTCTTTTTCCTTTTTTCTATGTGTGGATTCCATCAATGTGTATATTTCATTAAAACCCTGTTCTGTGGGGGTTCAGTCAGGCTGGTGGGAAAAAAAATTAGTTATAACAGCCACAAACCCTCTTGGAAGGCCTGAGAGTTTGCATAAGCTCCAGTAATAAATCTGCCTGAAGGCAGCCAGAGTCTCTCTGCAGGAGCCAAAGAACTTAAGGTTCAAATACAAATGAATGTAGAGTAGTTTATCTAACTAACTTGTTTACTCATGTGGTCTTAAGACTAACCTTTGTTTTACCGCAGGTGCTTAATTGCTTTCTACTCGGAAAGTCCACAATGTCAATTACCCTCTAGTGGTGTTTACTCACGACCTTTGTCAATTAATATCTACTGAATAAATGCAAGTCTCGCTAACTGAGTGAGGCTGTGGCTGCTACTAAGTGGCCCAAATGCTCAGCTGGACTGGCAAAGCAGAATATCTGTGTGTCAGTGTACTTTTTTCATCCGTTGTTGGGTCAGGGTCTGTGGGACGGACCTCCACACTGTTCTCTTATTGCAACTTTATACAGTAGTCCGCCCTTATCCAAAGGAGATGCATTCCAAGACCCCCAGTGGATGCCTGAAACCTTGGATAATATTGAGCCCTGTAAATACTGTATGTGTGTGTGTATATACATATAAATATGATAAAGTTTAATTTATGAAATAAACATAGTAACAGATTAACAGCAATAACTCGTCAGAAAACAGAAAAATTATAACAATATGCCAGCATCACTACACTTGCACTTTAGGGCCATCATTAAGTAAAACAAAGGGTACTTGAACACAAGCACTGCAAAACCATGACAGTGGATCTGATAGCCAAGACAGCTACTAAGTAACTAGCAGGTGGGTAGCATATACAGCCTGGGTGTGCTGGACACAGCTTGATTCATGTCCCTGAAGTGATGGCATAGGACTGTGCAAAATGTCACCATACTACTCAGAATAGCATCCAATTTAAAACTTACGAATTTTTTATTTCTGGAATTTCCCATTTAATAGTTTTGAACTGCAGTCAAACTTAGGTAACTGAAACTGTGGAAAGCAAACCCTCAGGTGAGGGGTGACCTGTTATAAGCCTTCACACTGGCTTACACCATATGATGAGTCCTCATGCTATACTTTCTTTTAAAATTTTTTCAGATATGTCTAGTTCCTTTGCCTGTTTATTCAAATTTTTCAATAAGGTTATTTAGGACTAAAACACCTCATTGGGATTTTGACAGGAATGCCAATAAACCTATAAATCATGCCGATGAGAACTAACATATTTACTATGTTGAGTCTTTCAATCAATCAAGAAACCATATATCTTCAATTGTTTCAGTATTATTTTCTTTCTTTCATCAGCATTTTGTAATTTTCAGCACAAAGGTCTAATATATATTTTGTTTAATTTATACCAAAATATTTCATTTTCTATGGAATGATTATTAGCGGGTTTTTTTCTGATTTTTAAAAAATTATACTTTAAGTTCTGGGGTACATGTGCAGAATGTTCAGTTTTGTTATATAGGTATACACGTGCCATGGTGGCTTGCTGCACCCATCAACCCCTCCCCCACATTAAGTATTTATCCTAATGCTATTCCTCCTCTAGTTCCCCTCCCCTTAACAGGCCCTTGTGTGTGATGTTCCCCTCCCTCTGTCCACGTGTTCTCATTGTTCAACTCCCACTTATGAGTGAGAACATGCAGTGTTTGGTTTCCTGTTCTTGTGTTAGTTTACTGAAATAATGGTTTCCAGCTTCATCCATGTCCCTGCAAAGGACATGAACTCATCGTTTTTTATGGCTGCATAGTATTCCATGAGTATATGTACCAAATTTTCTTCATCCAGTCTATCATTGATGGACATTTGAGTTGGTTCCAAGTCTTTGCTATTGTGATAGTGCTGTAATAAACATATGTATGCATTTATAGTAGAGTGATTTATAATCCTTTGGGTATATACCCAGTAATGGGATTGCTTGGTCAAATGGTATTTCTAGTTCTAGATTCTTTTTTTTTTTTTTTTTTTTTTTGAGACAGATTCTCGCTCTGTCGCCCAGGCTGGAGTGCAGGGGCACAATCTCAGCTCACTGCAACCCCTGCCTCCCAGGCTCACGCCATTCTCCTGCAAATTCTGTCTCCCAGGTTTAAGTGATTCTCCTGCTTCAGCCTTCTGAGTAGCTAGGATTACAGGTGTACACCACCATGCCCAGCCAATTTATATATTTTTAGTAGAGACGGGGTTTTGCCATGTTGGCCATGCTGGTCTCGAACTCCTGACCTCAAGTGATTTACCCACTTCGGTCTCCCAAAGTGCTGGGATTACAGGCGTGAGCCACTGTGCCTGGTGGCCCTATCATTCTTTGTTCACTGTATGATCTTTAGAAGAAAGGTGGGCAACAGGTGGCCAGCAGTGGTCTACCTGTGGTGATTTTATTCTTGATACCCTCTGATCTTTCTATGGCCACTATCTGTACCACTCTCGGAACAGCACAGAGACATTGGTAGAGAGAGGTTGTCCCCTCACCTCTGGCAGAAAATGGATGTTCACACAAGGTCAGGAGATCGAGACCACGGTGAAACCCCGTCTCTACTAAAAATACAAAAAATTAGCCGGGCGCGGTTGTGGGCGCCTGTAGTCCCAGCTACTCGGGAGGCTGAGGCAGGAGAATGGTGTGAACCCGGGAGGCGGAGCTTGCAGTGAGCCGAGATCGCGCCACTGCACTCCAGCCTGGGCGACAGAGCGAGACTCCGTCTCAAAAAAAAAAAAAAAAAAGAAAATGGATGTTCAGACCCTTCACCTTCCTGACGTCAGAGCTAACACGTTCAATACAATAGTTATTGGCCATGTGTGGCTGGCTACTGGGTGCCTGGAATGTTGCTGCAATTTGCCAGAAACTAAATTGTAATTTGCTAGAAAGATAAAATACAGAGTTAGTTTCAAAGATATAGTTCCAAAAATATATATACTTCATTAATCATTACATATTGCTCACATATTACAATGATAATATTTTGGATATATTGGGTTAATTAAATTGCTACAACTAATTTCACCTGTTTCTTCTTCTTCTTTCTTAATTTTTTTTTATTTTTGAGATGGAGTCTTGCTCTGTCGCCCACACTGGAGTACAATGGCGTGATCTTGGCTCACCTCAACCTCTGCCTCCTGGGTTTAAGCGATTCTCCTGTCTCAGCCTCTCTAGCAGCTGGGATTACAGGCACCTGCCATCATACCCAGCTAATTTTTGTATTTTTGTAGAGACGGGGTTTCACCATATTGGCCAGGCTGGTCTTGCACTCCTGATCTCGGGTGATCCGCCTGCCTCGGCCTCCCAAAGTGCTGAGATAACAGGCATGAGACACTGCACCCGGCTTTCTTTTCTTTCACTTTTATTTTCTTTCTTCTCTTCACTTTTCTTTCTTTCTCCTTTTTCTTCCTTCCTCTTCCTTCCTTTCTTCTTTCCTTCCTTTCTTTTTTCCTTCCTTCCTTCCTTCTTTCCTTCCTTCCTTCCTCCCTCCCTCCCTCTCTTCCTTCCTCCTCTCTTTCTCTCTCTCTTTCACTCTTTCTTTCTCTCTCTCTCTTTCTCTCTTCTTTTTTACTTGAGATGGAGTTTCGCTCTTGTTGACCAGGCTGGAGTGTGCACTGGGGCGATCTCAGCTAACTGCAACCTCCGCCTCCCTCTGCCTTCCGGGTTCAAGCGATTCTCTTGCCTCAGCCTCCCAAGTAGCTCGGATTACAGGCGCCCGCCACCACGCCTGGCTAAGTTTTGCATTTTTAGTAGAGACGGGGTTTCATCATGTTGGCCAGACTGGTCTCAAACTCCTGACCTAAGGTTATCCACCCGCCTCGGCCTCCCAAAGTTCTGGGATTACAGGCGTGAGCCACCTCGCCTGGCCCTTCTTTATTTTTCAAGTCTGGCTACTAGAAAATTTAAAATTCACATGTGGTTCACATCTTATTTCAGAAGATTGGCTCCTTTTAAAAATCTCAGGCTGCTAGTTCAAAGCACTGGGAGCCAGGAAGGTCATAAAATCTGAAATTTTAAAATAATTATTTTTTTAAATTTGTGAATAGCCATATATTATTTATAACTGCTTATGACCTTATACACAAGGTTAGGGGAAAATACCCTCTAAGGTGGGCCTGGCTCAGCTCAGGTAGGAAGCCCTGCCTGAAAAGGCTGCAACCTGGGCTGTCACTCTTTCTTCACTTCGCCCAGCATTTGGTCATATCTTCTGTCACTCAGGGCCTGAAGGGGCGGGTGCTTAAACCTTATCCAATCAGGAGCACTGAGCTGGGAACCGTCCAATCAGGCACACAGCTGGAGTGGAAAGGACGGCTTCCGGGATGTGGCTGGGCCGTTGTTTCTCGCTGGTGCTGAGCTCCAGGTCTCTCCACTGTTCTGTCCTCAGCGTGTGTGGCTTCATGACCCGAAGGTATTGGGAGATCCATAGCTAAGATGCCAGGACCCCCTGAAAGCCTAGAAATGGTGAGAGTGCCGGGTCCGACATCGCGAGAGAGGGCAAGGGGTTGCTTGGAACCGGTGGGAAGTGGCTGTGACGTGACTCAGGCCTCCTCGCAGTCAGCTCCACAATCTGCGCCCGAGTTTTCCTTGCCCAGCTCGGCCTCAGTCTCCTTCAGTCATAAGTTGGCTGCTGCGCCGACAGCCGGGGCCTCGGGCGTCTTGTCTCTTCCCTGCACTGTGACTGTGCCCTGCCTGGAGCCCTCTCTAGCAGCTCTGCACCCGCAGCACCGCGTCTCAAATTGTGCAGGGACCACGGGAGGGTCGTCAGGGGAGAATCCTGAGTTGGGTTGCGGGTTCATGAATGCGAAGAGCTTTGGTCCGTGGGGTTCCCAGTTGCTATTTTTTCCTATTAAAAATTTATGGAGTCACTGCAAAAATATTAAAGAATTTAATCAGAGTGGTTCTAGAATTGTAGAGCACCCAGCTATGTTTTGTAGTTTGTGGTCTGTGGGAGAGGCTTGAAGGAAAATCTTTTATAAAATGCATGGTGAAGAAACCAAATTTAGTAATTGATTAGGTACAGTTACGTGGTTTCTTAATTTGTGCATTAAAGGTGAAAATTTCCTGGTTTTGTAATCAGAGCTTAATTGGCAGTTTATAGTTGCTGGAGCCTGAATTTTGTTTCTCTGAATGTAGTAATTAAAAATAATGCACCTGAGTTAGATTTAGATTTTTTTTTTTTTTAAGTAAGAATCCAGGGACTAGAGATACCTCAGTCTAATTGCCTGCCACTTATTTATTTTCACACTCCACAGGGAACTGATTTTCTGCTGTATTTTTCACCTGTGTCCCAAGCAGCGTCTTGGAACCCATCCCCCATTTCTCCAGCCTCACTCTGGCTTGCAGTAAGATAATTTCCAGTTTCTTCTGACGTTCCCAAATGCCAGCTTTTCCTCCCTAGTTCATATTATTGCCTTTTTGTCTTTTAGTGTACTTTTTTATACCATATTTTAATTATTTTTTTCGCAAAGCATTAAATGGTTAAATGGTGCGTTTAAGGAGATTTGTTATCTGTAAATATTTCCCATGAAAAGAAAGCAAATAATAATACTCTGACACTATACTGTCGTAAATCTCTGTGTCTCTTTTGCTTTTATCTTGTCTAGGCACAGAGATGTTACCGGAATGTTTTTGGGTCAAAGTTCTCCTTTGGAAAATTTATGGGATGATGTGTCCTCAGCCACCCTTTGGTTTTTTCCTGTTCATGGGTTTCAGTACTATCTGGGGATACACAATGGTAACTGCCATGGTTATGTTAGCTAGAGTGTCCATTGGATTTCAGCTTCTGGTATATTTTCTCCCATAAGATGACCTGAGGTATGGAGTGTATCCTCTCAAGGGAGCAAGTGGATATTCTGGGGCTAAGGGGAATCTGCCGGTGGGCTCTTATTTTGAAAGGGTAACCCCTTGAAATGTTAAAATTGCCTTCACCCAACCAGGCTTCCGTTTCTTAGAGACAAATTGCTGGTCAGCCAATCAGATGCTGGTAATGAGGGGAAAACACAAATAATTTCTGCCCCCTGGATTCTCTAAGGGGAGCAGAAAAATAGTGAAATAAATATAGTAAAAGAAAGGGAGTAAAAAAAAAAGTGAAAATTTTGTGACCAAAAAAATAGTATCCCAAAAGACAGACAAGAACAAAAACAAAACTGACTCCAGTGAGATGGTGTAAGAGCTGGCCAAGTAAAATGCAAGTGGGACAGTCACCGAGAAACAGTGCAGTGTCTTCTGGATGGGTGGTTCTTGAGCACACAATGAGCAGGAGTGGGTGGAAGAATCAAGTGATTGAATGGCCTTACTTGAAACATGAGTCAGACACATCTGTTATTTATTTATTTATTTATTATTTATTTTATTTTTATTTTTTTGGGACATAGTCTCACTGTCGCCCAGGCTGGAGTGCTGTGGCCTGATCTTGGCTCACTGCAAGCTCTGCCTCCCAGGTTCACGCCATTCTCCTGCCTCAGCCTCCCGAGTCGCTGGGACTACAGGCGCCCGCCACCACGTCCGGCTAATTTTTTGTATTTTTAGTAGAGAGGCTTTCACCGTGTTAGCCAGGCTGGTCTCAATCTCCTGACTTCGTGATCCATCCGCCTTGGCTTCGTGAGCCACCGCGCCCAACCCACATCTGTTATTTAACCAGCACTTCCACTCATGGATTTGTCACCTTGAAGGGATTTGTTCACTTATTTTGACCTGAGTTTTTATAGTAGGGCTTGAAAGGTAGAAAAATATTTACAAAAGACATGAAAGATGTGAGTTTCAAAAAATTAGTATCTAATCATACATGTCATTTGTTAAAAATTCTCACATACCTTTTTCTTTCCCAGAGTGAGTTTACGAATTTTCTCAGGTGTTTTTTTTTTTTTTGTAACTGGGTGATTTCAAACAGAATTTCAAGGCTTAGCTTTTAGAATGCTGCCAAGAAAAAGAAGAGGAAAAAATCTCTATTTCATTTTTGCTGTAGAAAATGAATACATTTCCATGAGAAATTGTGGTAGATAATTGATTGGTTACATAGATTCATAAAAACATCAGTTCCTTTTTTTTGCAAGATAAAGTTTTGACAGTGAATATCTCTGTTCAAATCCTGTTTTCTTGATTCGTGAGTTTCATGCTAAATATTATGAGACAAAAGTTGGTACTGCCTAGAAGTGTTTTCATGACTCATTGTTTACTGCATGATTTTTAATGGAATTAATAGAATAAGACATTTATTTTCCAAAAGAAATAGATACTTTTTCTTTTCTTTTCTTTTCTTTTTTGAGACGGAGCCTCGCTCTGTCGCCCAGGCTGGAGTGCAGTGGCCGGATCTCAGCTCACTGCAAGCTCCGCCTCCGGGGTTTACGCCATTCTCCTGCCTCAGCCTCCCAAGTAGCTGGGCCTACAGGCGCCTGGCTAGTTTTTTGTATTTTTTAGCAGAGACGGGGTTTCACCGTGTTAGTCAGGGTGGTCTCGATCTCCTGACCTCGTGATCCACCCGTCTCGGCCTCCCAAAGTGCTGGGATTACAGGCTTGAGCCACCGCGCCCGGCCTGCTTTTCTTATTAAGGTATACAGTGTAAGCACCTTGGCCGGGGGCAGTGGCTAACGCCTGTAATCACAACACTTTGGGAGGCCGAGGCAGGTACATCACAAAGTCAAGAGATCAAGACCATCCTGACCAACATGGTGAAACCCCGTGTCTACTAAAAGTACAAAAATTAGCTGGGCATGGTGGCACGCACCTGTGGTGCTACTCGGGAGGCTGAGACTTGAACCTAAGAGGTTGAGGTTGTAGTGAGCCAAGATTGCACCACTGCACTCCGGGGTGGTGACAGAGACTCCGTCTCAAAAAAATAAATAAATAAATGTAAGCACTTAAAAATTTTTTTCCCTTATATGAACACTGTGTTTCAGTCATTTTGCTGAATTTTTAAAATACTTAATTTCAAAAACCAAGTGAGTAACTCTAACATGAAAATTAAAGTTTGAGCCCAGTGACTCAGAGCTAAGGCTAATATTGAGCCTGCAAAAGGAGTTTATGAAAGGCCTAGTTAGTTTTTTTTCCGGAGAGCCTCCCCTGCAGAAGTTCCAGCCTGCTCACTCCAGTCATGGAAGAAGGCTTTCTGCTGACAGAAGCTGCAGAGTCCTGGAAAGCTACAGGCAGATGCAGTTAAGGCTAAGATAAAAGGGGACAGGGAGGGTCACACTAGCCATGTACTTGTTATTGTACATCAGGGATGCTACTGATTTAGTATCCTGAAACTTTGCTGAAGTTGTTTATCAGTTTAAATAACTTTTGTGCTGAGACTCTAGGATTTTGAAGATACAGAATCTTGTCATCTGCACACAGGAATAGTTTGACTTCCTCTCTTCCTGTTTGAATGCCTTTTATTTCTATCTCTTCCCTGATTGTTCTGGCCAAGACTTTCAATTCTGTGTTGAATAAGAGTTTTGAGAAAAAGCATTCTTGTCTTGTGCCAGTTTTCATGAAGGAATGCTTCCAGCTTGTGTTCATTTTCTATGTTGACTGTAAGTTTGTCATACTTAGATGACTCATTATTTTGATGTAGGTACCTCCAATGCCTAGTTTTTTGAAAGTTTTAAACATGAAGGATGGTAAATTTTATTGCAAACTTTTTTAACATCTACTGAAATAACCTTGTGGTTTTTGTCTTTAGTTCTGTTTACTTGAAGAGTAACATTTATTAATTGTATGTTGAACCAACCTTTTATTTCAGAGATACAGCCAAGTTGATCACATTAGCTTTTTGGTGTTCTCCTGGATTTGGTTTGCCAGTATTTTGTTGAGGATATTTTCATCAATGTTCATTAAAAATATTGGCCTCAAGTTTTCTATTTTTTTGTTTTATATTTGCCAAATTTTCATATCAGAATAATGCTATTTTTATATAATGAGTTGGAAAGAAGTCCCTTTTTCTCAGTATTTTGAAATAATATTAGTAGAAGTGGTACAAGCTCTTATTTTACATCTGGTAGAATTCAGCTGTAAATTTGTCTGGTTCTTTGTTTTATTTTTGGTGGGTAGGCTATTTATGTATTTATTTAATTTTGTTTTATTTTACTTTTTGAGAAAGAGTCTCACTCTGTCGCCCAGGCTGGAGTGCAGCGGCGCAATCTCAGTTCACTGCAACCTCCACCTCCCGAGTTCAAGCAATTCTCTGCTTCAGCCACCTGAGTAGCTGGGATTACAAGTGTGGACCACCACACCCAGCTAATTTTTGTATTTTTAGTAGAGATGGGGTTTCACCATGTTGACCAGGCTATTCGCTATTCTTGAACTTCTGACCTCATGATCCACTCGCCTCGGCCTCCCAAAGTGCTGGGATTATAGGCTGAGCCACCATGCCCGGACAGCTATTTATTTATTTATTTATTTATTTTTATTTATTTATTTTTTGAGACAGAGTCTCACTCGGTCGCCCAGGCTGCAGTGCTGCCACAATCTCGGCTCACTGCAACCTCTGCCTTACGGATTCACCCCATTCTCCTGTCTCAGCGTCCCGAGTAGCTGGGACTACAGGCGCCCGCCTTCATGCCCGGCTAATTTTTTGTGTTTTTAGTAGAGATGGGGTTTCACCATGTTAGCCAGGATGGTCTCAATCTGACCTCGTGAGCCACCACACCCGGCCCTGACTGGCTATTTGTTACTAATTCAGTTTTGGAGCTTGTTACTGGTCTATTCAGGGATTCAATTTCTTATTTGTTCAGTCTTTGGAGGATGTATCATTGCTCCAAGGTTACAATCCTCAAGCTTGGCCCAGCGAACTTTCTAATTCATGTTTCCTCAGTTTTTTCCTTTTAGGTAGACATATTACTTAGAATGTGCTAGAGGAACCTCTATGAAGGGATCTCTCCTTTGATTGTACTCCGCTTGCTGTAACACCCAAGGATGTGGAGTCAGGTTAATCCCAGCTAGAATCTGCACATAGGGTCAGGCCTCTGCCTGGGATTTACAAGACAGGGCCAGACTTTCGATTGAGAATGTAATGAAAACCAACAAAATATATTTTCTGCATTGTGAGATGTCAACATAGACATCTTAAAGCCCCCCTTTGAGAGTGTGGCTTTGTAAGCTTTTCAGATCTTGTTTGGTGACCTGCTACAGTTATATGAGAGGCTCCAGGTATAAATAGAATCTGATGACAGAATCTGTAAGTGTAAACAAGCATCTTCAGAGTGAGAGATCAAGGCCACAAAGTATCCAGAGCCATGACCACAACTATACCTACCTGTAAATTGTAATTATGGAGTAGAGTATTCTTGTCCTTCTCACGCAAAAGCTAGCAAATCAGGATAGGTTGTCCAGATTCTGGAGCTCCACCAAAGCAGTTCTATTTTCTATTTAGAATCAGCCTGAGTTTCTCCAGTTCGGCTTATCATTGGGCCATCAGCTTTTGGTCACTGGGAACCCTCTCACAATCACCTAGGTTTCTTTAAGACATTTGAGGATGTCAGGGACAGAATTGTGTCAGGCTGACAAGAGTGATTAATTCTGCTTGTGTCTCAGTGTAAGAGAAAGGAGTCGTTCTGTGTTTTTTTCTCCCTCATAAGAGATAACTTTGGTTGGTGCCCAAATTAAAGTTTATCAAGTTTTCTGCTAGTTGGGTGAAAGACAGAGGAGGTCTGGCAACTCAAATAAACTAATTGCTTCCATTTTATATTATCATTCAAAAAATAGATGAAGCAATCATGGTCCCTACCATCCAGGAACTTTTAGTCTAGACTAGCAACTGAATACATGGTTGAATTAAGCATTATATGGTTGGTAGAATGAATAGATTTTTGGGAAAAACAACAACAACAACAACTTGGGCCACTTTTTGAAAATATTGCTGTGACTTCTGATGTTATCACCTGAAGGGATATTTATGGACTGAAGAGGTGTTATTATTTGTGTTTATTTTACTTTTCTAAGAATACATATTTATCTTCTAATAAAATTATCCTAGAAAACTTTAAAAGATTCATTTAAATTGCTTATTAGTGTATGTTATAAAATTGAGAGCAGTGGCAAAAATAGATTAAAGTTACATAAACTCTGGGATTTAAGTTTTTCTTAGGTAAGCTTAGGAAAAACAGAACTGGAAATACCTCAGTGGCATAGAGAACAAATTCAACCTAGGGTCTTCTCCCTGCCCCAGTTCTGATCAGATTCACTTTTTTTGGAGGCATTTTTAGCTCTGGCCCCACTCTGGAGTCTTTCCTTACAAAACTGATTTATAGAGATTCACGTTTTGGCTGGTAAATCCTGCTGACTTTCTAGAGCTGGTGCTCACAATATCCTGAAACCCAAAAGTAGATACATAAGAAAAATAAACTATACATTTTAAGATCTTAATTTTTAAATTTTGTAGTAAAACCAGTGCTTACAGAAACATTCCATTTAGCAACTTGTTTTCTATTCCTGCAGATCCAGTAGTTGCTATACAGGTCACAAACAAGTATATATAAACAGAAAAAATCCTCTAAACTACATTAAACTCTTTCTGTCTATATTTCTTTATATATCTTCATCTGTCTATATTTAGCTTTTAGTTTATTTTTAAGAAAATCAATGACAGAGAAACAGAGGAAGAAATACTAATTCTGGGCCCTTTATCTAAATCCTGAGAATTATTGAACACTTAGTATGAACTTCGAAGGTCTTATTAGGATTTAATCACAGAATGTGTTATTCCCAGCACCGTGCTCTGTATCATACTCTTGAGCACATAGTACCTGCGCAAGAATGCTGAATGTAAGGGGCTCTGTGCTGTGCCTGCTTTCTCTAATGCTAATGATAAGCCCAGGTGGAGCAACATAGCAACATTGACTTTGACAGGGGATTTGTTTGGAACACCCATTCATGGACCCTTTCTAAACTTGCAGAATCACATTACATAAAGTGGGACCAACATTACCAAGTGATTTTTGAGTTCATTAAAGCTTGAGAGGCAATGCTTAGCTAAGTGACTATCAGCCCAGGCTTCTCATTAGGATCACATGGCCAATTTGCAGACATCTCTTTACTTGTGCCATCTCCCCAGGTTCTGTGTATTGTTCTAGGTGAAAGTATTCATGTTGTTTTAATTGTTTCTCATGTGACGCCAAGGTGAGGACAAAATCAAGTGGGTGGGGTTCAAGATACATTCCTGAGAGTTGAGTTTCACCTTTGCACTAAAAGGTAGTCACAGGAACTGTTCTATTTGGTTTTAATAGGAAGAGGTCAGTGTGACCCATATTTTCATCACCATAGCAGAAATTGCTGGTGTTTGTGGCAAGGGCGGGCACATGAAGACAGAAATAGAGAAACATATTTTTATATTCATTGAGCAGCTTGTTGTTCCTGAATCTCTGCTGTTATAAAGGACAGAAATGGGTGGGCTTTTTCTGCAGGTCTTAGTTCTTTTTTCTGTAGTTGTGAGGCTAGCAGGTAAATGGGTGGTGCTGACTTCTTTACAGAAATTTTCTCAAGATGCAGGTGTAACTTCTCCAGAGAATGTCATCTGAAAAGGATTTCCAAAGAAGGCAAAAGAGGAAAAATGGCTTTTTTTTTTCAGCTAAATATGTCTCAGATGAAGATCTGTGTCCACTCTGCCTCATGGAATGCCATGCATTTAGTCCTTGCAAACCTTTACTTCTCTACTTGTGTTTCTTTTCCCCTAATGAGTTTAACGACTTTTTAAAATTCTTGTGATAGTCAAGGGTCTCTGCAAAATGTTTCTCTCCTATATCCCAGAACCTTCTCTACACTCTCTAAAGCATGACTTCTTATATGCCATGCAAAATTCTTAAAATGAATTTATAGTCTGCACTATTTAAAATGTTCCCTTTGTTGCCGTTGAACATGGGAAAATGTAGATATTCAAGATTCCCATTGGCGGAAAGCTGGGCTCCTTAGTAAAGATAAATAGCATGTAGTCTTGTGACTTCATCTGTTTTCTCCATTAACTCTGTGCGGAACAGGATTAGGAAAATGCTTATTTAAACAGGATAGCGTTTATTACCCTGAAAATTCTGAAAAAAAGTTATTGAGAGATACCTGCTCTCTCGGGTGCTAAAGAAAGACTACTTTAAAATGTTATTAAAAATTACAGACCATAGAAGATTTCTGCATCTTGAACTCCACATAATACTGACTTTTCTGTATGGTTAAATTCAGACTAGAATTTACTTTTTGAAAGGCAGTATCTCAGCAGTGATGATGTGTTCTTCTGTGTGCATCGCATCAGCACATCATAAACATTTGTCCTAATGCAGTTGATTTTAAAATTTGCTTAAAGAGCTCTCTGAAATACTTATTTCACTATAGAGTTCATTATTTTTCTCTTCATTATTAAGTATCTTTATGTAGCTAAAGAAGAGCTATGCATAAACCGTCACATTTAATCCGGCAGCTGCCTTTCTTTCTTAGGTTTTCCTTGCATATATCTGTCTTTGGAAAATGAAGACTCTTGTCTTTGTTTACAGGGCAGAAAAATTGAGTAAAACACAGGTTCTTCCGCTTACGGGATATTTGACAAAATATTCTTTCTGGGCCAAACACATTGGCATTACTAGTGAGCTTGTTAGAAATTCAGAAAGCAGAGTTTATTTCAGATCTTCTGGAAAAAAAAATTGTGCACAAGATCTTCAGTTTATTGTTCACATTAAAACTTGAGAGGTGCCTTCTAACTCAACATCTTTTTTGTCTGAAAAATATACACAACTCGTTCTTTGTGTGGCAAATATAGCACTAAAAAAGTACATGTTTGTGTTTATGCATTTAGTTTTATACTTTAGTATTCATGAAAGTATATATACACTGGTGTTGTAGATCTTATACCATTCTCATCCCTCAGAGAATACATTAGAGATATTTCTGTGTTGAAAATTGTTGAATAACTTCAGTCATTCCTGTAAGTCAGAACCAAGCTTTTTTACTCTCTCATTTAACCTTAACTCAAATGATAAATTTTGCCCACGTGTAAATATGTGTGTTTGTGTGCACATGTGCATGCGTGTGTGTGTTTGTTTCAGGGGCCGTTGACATTTAGGGATGTGGCCATAGAATTCTCTCTGGAGGAGTGGCAATGCCTGGACACTGCTCAGCAAGATTTGTATAGGAAAGTGATGTTAGAGAACTACAGAAACCTGGTCTTGGGTGAGAATAACTTTAATACACAATTCCTTATATACCCTAAAGTTTTTCATTTCTGTTTTCGTAGAATAATTTTTGATAATTTATGCTTTTCATAAATGAGTTTCTGATGCCTGTTTTAAAAAAATCTTGAGGAATTGTCCATGTAAAAAAAAAAATTCTTCAGGATGTTTTATCTTGGCCTGATCTTTTTACATGTCTGAGCTGGTCTATATCCTTCACTCTAGAGTAGTGATAATTTCAGAAATTTAGTGGTATAAAATATTGTTGCCCATATGTTAAAATCTATATGCGACCACTAATTTTTTATCCATGAATACTGGGTGGTGAAATTAAGCACCTACAAATTTAAAATATTTTCTAAATGTTAAGAACTTTCTGTCATTAAATAGTATTTTGGGATAAATTTTCTAGAATATTCTATTACATCCTCTTTATTAAGCATGGTACTAGGTAGGCAATTAGAGAATACGGGCAAGATTCATGTTATTTATTTTTAATAAAGCAGGTATTGATGTCTCTAAGCCAAATCTGATCACCTGTCTGGAGCAAGGAAAATATCCCTGGAATATGAAGAGACACAGTATGGTAGTGAAACCCCCAGGTAGGTGAGAGTGAATGAAACAGTTGACATAGATGAAAGGTTGAAAGATTAAAAAAAAAAAAAAGCCAGTCCCTGCCAGGCGCAGTGGCTCACGCCTGTAATCCCAGCACTTTGGGAGGCCGAGGCCGGTGGATCGCCTGAGCTCAGGAGTTCAAGACCAGACTGTTTTATACCAACATGGTGTAAACTCTGTCTCTACTAAAAATAGAAAAATTAGCCAGGCGTGGTGGCAGGTGCCTGTAATCCCAGCTCCTCAGGAGGCTAAGGCAAGAGAATTGCTTGAACCGGGAGACAGAGGTTGCAGTGAGCCGAGATCGCACCACTGCACTCCAGCCTGGGGAACAAAAGCAAGACTTCATCTCAAAAAAAAAAAGAAAAGAAAATAGTTATCAAGTGAATATAATACCATCACCAAATCTGTCCTGCTGATTTGGGAAGCTGTGTTCCAAAGCAAAGAGTTTCCCGGAAGCCTGAGGTATATATATTTTTGTTGTTGTTTTTGTTCTCACATAGGGCCATCTTCTGTCTTATGCTTTTAAATTCTCTAAGGATTCTACTTTCTCTTCATTGATACTCCTTTAAGTTTACAGTGAGAGCGAAAATCCTCTTCATGGCATATAAGAGACTGCACAATCTGACTGCTTTTCCATTGTTTTGGGAGACACACAAATATCTGCATCTGCATGATTTTGAGAAACTTATGTTAAACTATTTTATTAGTTCTCTTTTTGCATCATTTCTAAAATGTGTGAGAGTAGTGGTCTCTGTTCTATTGGTTTTTATGTTAATTTTCTGAACATTCCATCCTATTCTTGTTAGTATATTCTGGAAATATAGTTTGAAATTATAAAGTATGATGTCCCTCTGTTTTTTTTTCTCATAATTAATTTGGCTATTTGAAGTTTATTGTAGTTTTTTGTAAATTTTAGAATTGTAGTTTTCATTACTATAAGAAAACATGCTACTGGAATTTTGATAGGAAGTTTCCTGAATCTATAGATTACTTTAGAGAATATAGTACTTTAACAGTATTTATTTTTTCAATCCATAAATATGAAATATTTTCAAATTTATTTGTGTCTTCCCTAATTTCTTTTATTGATTTATATCTTTCATTGTTAAGATTTTTTGTCTCTTGGGTTAAATTTGTTCTCAGAAATTAATTATTTTATTTATATTTTTAAAAAGATTGTTTTCTTGGTTGGCACGGTGGCTGGGGCCTGTAATCCCAGCAATTTGGGAGGCTGAGGCAGGTGGATCACTTGAGTTCAGGAGTTTGAGACCAGTCTTGCCAATACGGTGAAACCCTGTCTCTACTGAAAATATAAATAATTATTTGGGTGTGGCGGTGAGCACTTGTAATCAATCCCAGCTACTCAGGAGGCTGAACCAGGGGAATCACTTTTACCAGGGAGGCAGAGGTTGCAGTGAGCCAAGATCACTGTATTACACTCCAGCCTGGGCCACAGAGCAAGACTGTGTCTCAAAAAAAAAAAAAAAAAATTAAAAAGAATAAATTTTTTTTTTTTTTGAGATGGAGTCTCACTCTGTTGCCCAGGCTGGAGTGCAGTGATGTGATCTCTGCTCACTGCAAGCTCCGCCTCCTGGGTTCTTGCCATTCTCCTGCCTCAGCTGCTCGAGTAGCTGGGACTACAGGCACCAGCCACCATGCCTGGCTAATTTTTTTGTATTTTTAGTAGAGACAAGGTTTCGCCATGTTAGCCAGGATGGTCTCGATCTCCTGACCTCATGATCCACCCGCCTTGGCCTCCCAAAGTCCTGGGATTACAGGTGTGAGCCACCATGCCTGGCCTAATAAAACTTTTTAAATTTCTATTGTATCCAATAGCTTGTTTTAAGTGTATAGAACAATAACATACGTTTATGTTAATTTTATATTTTGTTAATTTACTGAGTGTATTTATTAGTTTAAACAAATTTCAGTGTACTATGGTTTTTTATGTGTAAGATTATATATTCCTCAAACAGCAACTTTTACTTGTCTTCAGTTTCAATGGCTTAAAAAAATTTTTTTTTTCATTATTCTGCCACATACTTCCAGTGCTATGTTAAAATAGAAGCATTGACAACGGGCACAATAGAGTTTACTATTGGTATCTGTGAATTTGAAACAGCAAACAACTCCTTAAGTTTTCATAAACTAATTTCAGGAGGTAGAGATCTTTTCTTGGGTCCCCAGGGTTCTGGGATACCCCCTGGGTTTGTAGTGGAGTGGGGTTGTAACTTGGTTGCAAGGCTGCTGGGTCTGCACTAGGGTCCACATTTAGTTGTCTTGTTGCAAGAGGCTTGGGTAGTTGTAATTCCCAATTTTTTTTTTTTTTTTTTTGAGACAGGAGTCTCGCTCTGTCACCCGGCTGGAATGCAATGGTATGATCTCAGCTCATCAAAACCTCTGCCTCCCTAGTTCAAGTGATTCTCCTGCCTCAGCCTCCTGAGTAGCTGGGATTACAGGTGCCTGCCAGCACTCCCAGCTAATTTTTTTGTGTTTTTAGTGGAGACTAGGTTTCACCATGTTGGCTAAGCTGGTCTCGAACTCCTGACCTCAGGTGATCTGCCCGCCTTGGCCTCCCAAAGTGCTGGGATTACAGACGTGAGCCACCGTGCCCGGCCACTCGTTTCTTGTAAATGCTTGTTAGAAGTTTCGCATCAGAATATTTTATTTATAATTATACTGCATATTCTCTGAAATTTTACTGCCAGTTATTCAAAATACCTGCCTTTGATGAGTATACACTTACAGTCAAACACTGTAGTCAGATTCTTTCTTAATGGTACGTTAATGTTGCATACCAAATTGTATGAGTAAACATGTGTCTTATTGTTGTGCAGTTTCATATTAGTGGTGTTTTTTTTTGTTTTGTTTTTTTGAGACGGAGTCTCGCTCTGTGGCCCAGGATGGAATGCAGTGGCTGGATCTCGGCTCACTGCAAGTTCCGCCTCCCGGGTTCACGCCATTCTCCTGCCTCAGCCTCCCAAGTAGCTGGGACTACAGGCGCCCGCCACCTCGCCCGGCTAGTTTTTTGTATTTTTTAGTAGAGATGGGGTTTCACTGTGTTAGCCAGGATGGTCTCGATCTCCTGACCTCGTGATCCACCCGTCTCGGCCTCCCAAAGTGCTGGGATTACAGGCTTGAGCCACCGCGCCCGGCCTCATATTAGTGGTGTTTTAGTGTAGGTTTCTTAATATCAGCTTATCATGGTTTTTGGTTGTTTTATGTATTACAATTTTAGTCAATTTGCAATTCTGTCTGTATACTTTATGTTGATGTGAGGTTTACTTAAAAGATAAGTCAGCCATATGTCTGTCACAATCATATATGTGTGTTTATCTATAAATATGACCCCAATATTGGTTATGGCTTATCTTGTATATATTCTTTCTTTCTTTTTCTTTTTTTTTTTTTTTTTTTTAGGTGGAGTCTCGCTCTGTTGCCCAGGCTGGAGTGCAGTGGCGCAATCTCAGCTCACTGCAATCTCTGCCTCTCAGGTTCACATCATTCTCCTGCCTTAGCCTCCCAAGTAACTGGGACTACAGGCATCTGCAACCACATCTGGCTAATTTTTTGTATTTTTAGTAGAGAGGGGGTTTCACCATGTTAGCCAGGGTGGTCTCGATCTCCTGACCTCGTGATCTGCCCGCCTCAGCCTCCCAAAGTGCTGGGATTACAGGCATGAGCCACTGCGCTCTGCCTCTTGTATATATTCTTTCTTAGCTGATTTTCAGTGGTGGTTTTATCTTGTCTAAGTGAGTAGTCATGTAAATATTTTCACCATTTCTTGTTTTCATGATTTGTTTAATCATGAATATATATTTCCTTTGTGTAAGAGAAACACTTCTGTGATTCGAAGGTAATTTTTGAAAAGATTTATAATTCTTTGTTTTTTTCAGTTTTTTGGTTAGAAAATTAATTGTTGTAAAAACACATAAGATTTAGCGTCTTAAATCTATTTAAGTGTACATTTCAGGGTCCAACATGTGGGTGGCTCACATGTATAATTTCAGAAATTTGGGAGTCCAAAACAGGAAGATCACTTGAGCCCAAAAGTTTCAGACCAGCCTGGGCACCATATGAACCAGCCTGGGCAACATATGAAGATTCCCTCTTTACAAAAATTTTTAAAAAGTAGTCAGACATGGTGGTGTGCGCCGGTGGTCCCAGCTACTTGGGAGATTGAGAGGGGAGGATTACTTGAGCCTGGACAAGTTTGAGGCTGAAGTGACCCTTAATTGTGCCACTTCACTTCGGCTTGGGTGACAGAGTGAGACCCTATCTCAAAAGGAAGCTATATATTTCAGGCATGTTAAGTATATTCACATAGTTACGCAAAAGACTTCTAAAAGTTTTACATCTTGTGAAACTAAAACCCAGTACCCATTAGGTAACAATAACGCATTTACCCTCTCCCCAGGCTTGACAAACACCCTTCCAATTTCTCTTTTTATAAGTGTGACTACTTAAGATATCTTATATAAGTGGAATCATACGGTATCCATCATTTCATTTCTGACATATAGGTGACATTTGGAAAGTTTATCGTAAAATGTGATAATTTCTTCTTTAAAACTGAATAATATTTTATTGTGTATATATATATATGCAACACTTTTGATGTGTTTATAAATCAAGAGACATCTGAGTTGCTTCAGCCCTTTGGCTTTTGTGAATATGGGTACAATAAACATGGATGTTCTGATAGGTCTTCCAGGTCTTGTGTTTCATATTTTGACTATAAATTCATAAATGGGATTGCTGTATTTGATAATTCAATTTTTAATTATTTGAGAAACATAACATTTTAAAATAATGACTGTATCTTTGTTTTCTACTAACAATATAGGTTTCATTTTTATTGCATCATCAACAGATTTGGTGTGCTTAAAAAATTTATAGTGGCCATTGTTATGGATGTGAGGCAATTTTGTTTTTCACTGTGATTTTCATGTGTTTCTGTACAAAGTAGAGAAATGTTCTGTGTCAT